ATCTTACCGCCAAGCTACCGTTGCAAAGCCTTCAGGTGACGCCTGCATGTCGATTGGTGGTTGGGCAGCTGTGTCGACACCACCAAAGCGCGTGTAATGTCCGGAAACACCTGAAACGCATCCATATCGAACTCGCTGGGGTTTTTGCTGACAGTGACACTGACGTGTGACTGTATCGCACGCAACATACACCTCAAACGGACGTGTGGACTAGATTGCAGCGACAACCTATCCGAAACTTGTCGGACGCCTCTTCAACTCCATTTCTTGCTTCGCACAACAAGCTCCATTGCGGAAGTGGCAGTGCCGGTTCTGAAAGTAGGACTCCTCCGATGCGCATCCATGACAGTGGGCTGACCGACCCCCGTACTTCCGGTGAACAGACACGAAGTTCTATTCCTGCTTCTGCTTGGCAATACCTTGAACTCCTAACACGCCCATGGTGCTTCAGGATAGATCAACCTCCGATGTTTTCACCACGTCACGTTTTCTGTCTTGTTTCTTGCCTTCGGTAGTTCCACTCTCGACCTCTTGCACAACTCTTTCACGCCCACACGGCCGTCGACTTTCCCCCCACGCCGCTTTTCGTGAGTTAACTGCGATTCAGCTTGCTGCTCGACAACTCCTGATTCGATACGTCTCTTGTTGGTCGAGTGGACAAGTGGAGACTATTGGACCTTTGGGGTGCGTATCCCGTGACCGCTCTGTTCGTTGTTCGGTCATAGTGATCCAAGGGTATTGGGGTAAATCTTGCCGACTTCTGACGTGTTCAAAAAGTATTTCCGGTTCATCATAGCTGATATCGATCGGCGGCCGCATCGCTAGAATGTCGTCTCACGTCGGGAGCCTAGTATCCATCAACGGGCACTGCTCGCGAGGGACACTCTCTTATATGCTTCGATCGTCCAATATCGAATTCTCCGCACAAACCATGCAGCTGGGTTATTACCCAATCTGGGTTGTTGATGCGAGACTTGGCTTCATTCGATGCTCAACCCTGGTTTGCATCGGGAAAGCTAAATGTTTCGGCTGAAGTCCACATAAGTCGTTGCCTGTCATTGGTGAAACGGACCATCTTCATAGATTTGCTCACCCAGACTCTAGCATATCCGCATACAGATTGAGAGAGCTTCCGATAACATCCACGATAGCCCAAGTTTGAGATCCTTTGAAGATCATCGCCCAGACCCTGAGCACCCCCGCGCTGAGATGTCGTGTAAAGTTGGGCGAGTCGGGCGTAATATCGGCGGGTACGGCAAACTCGGTCTCATCCAACATGCTTTTCACAATCGCAATGATTCTGTGCTCGTCTTCTGTGATGGGCGGGTCTGCTTCCGGTACCGACAGGGCTTCGAGCCACTTGCTCATGAGGTAGGCGCACTCGAGCGTGCACAAGGAGTGTTGAATGCTCCAGATGAACGATTGTGTCTTTGCCACGAGACGATAGCCGATCTTGATGGGTATAGAGAGTGCGTGGGCCGAATGGAGCACAGCTCTTGTAATCTTTGGCGAGCGCCTGATTGTAGGCCCGGCGCGGAAGGCATTGGCAATCAGCACAGGGTCGCGCGTCTCGAGAGCTCGACCTGCAGTGTCCACGTAGAGTCGTATGTATGCCAATCGAAGCAAGGCAGTTGAGTTGAAAGCGACAGGACCGTTCTGCGACATCGGGTCGAGCGATGATTCAGGATTTTGGCGCCATCCGGTCTGCCAGTTTCGCAGAGCGTTCTCGAGCGACGCGACTTCTTCTGCGCTCAGATCACCGGGTCCTTCAAAACGACATCGTGCCACTTGTCGGAGGAAGAAAACATGCTGTATCAGGGCGTGTATCAACGCGTAGTTTCCAGACGACGAGTTGACCTCGGTGACGTCGCGGCCTTGCTTTGTAAACAGACGTTTCAATGCATCCTGGAACAGGACCTCAGGCGCACTCTTCTTCCTCGCTTCCCTCCATAAAGCCTCTGTAGGAGCCTTGAACTCCGCGGCACTGCATGGTAAGGGCAACTTGACCTCGCTCGTTAGCATGAATGGAGGAATGTTGTAGACAATGCAATGAAGGTTGGAGAAGCCATAGACGATGAACTTGGTCCTTTTGATCGTTTCGCGCCGAATCCAGTCCGACCATGAGATGGTCTCATGGAGAGGTTCGGTCTCGAGTCCGTCGTCCCGAATAAGGGTAGCTAAGATGCTTTGGATTGCTAAAGCCTCTCTGAGGATCTCTTTGTGTTTGGCCCACGTACAAAGTGCCATGAGTAAGAGTAGTGCCTGAGCGGTCTGCATGAGATCTTCGCCAAGTGCAGGAACATCAGCCTGGGAAGGTAGGCCCAGCGGTCCCGAGATGGAACCCTTACGTTGAGGGCTACGAGGGTCGCTCGGATGATTGTGGGGCGACGAGTGATCCGACTCAGAATGATGCTGGAGCTGCACCAGGCGCGTATCCCGTTTTCTGATACGGTGCGTCGCGATTGCTTTGCTTACGTTGAACAGCTCGACACCCTTTTCGCCCTCGAAAGTGTATTGCGCACCGATAGCTGCCAATGCTAGGAGTAGCTCAATCGAACACGTCTCCACGGACATTGTGGGTATATGGAGGAATGGCATGTGCTCGTGAAATCCATTGATATATGCAGCAATATATCTGCACAGTGCTAATCGAGTTGGTAGAACGAAGTCGCTGGGTATGACCATGGAGAAGGGCTGGAGCATCTCCAGGATTTCCTGCCGATCCTCGTGTGAAATATCTGCGAATGATCGTTTCCGAGCGGATTGATCGTCTGGCTGCAAGGAAGGAAAACGAGAGCCGAAGCGTGAAAGCGACGGCGGCTCGTCTAGTTGTGTTGGTCTCCAACCATGAGTAGGCGCTGCTGCTCCCTCTGGCTCGGTCGCCATTTGTTGACCGTAGCCAAATGAGTCTGGAGAGAAGAACGGCATGGGCTGTTCGGTGTTGATCAGGGACGCAAAGTGGTACGAATTTAGTGGTTCACTGTCAAGGAATGAAGTGAGACTGTCCAATGACTCTCCAAAGGTCGACTCATAGCTATGAGCAGACGGCTCCGTGAGCATGGTTGAGTGTGGGCCTTCAACACTCGCGGCTATCGTGCCAGCATGCGAAGGCATTGGGGTTGGCATCGCATCATGAGCGGAGCCGTTTGCCATGTTACCTTGAAGAGCTTGATACTCGGCAGCCATCGACAATGCTGTCAAAGAGTAGGGGCTATTGTGCCCGAAGGTCATGGAGGCGTGTGACATTGCGGGTTGTTGTTGCGACGATTGCATGTCCAAAACAGCAGGCGAGGACATCATACTGGGTATCTCGGGCACTGGACGTCCAGCATCGAAACTTGACCTCATGCGCTTGTGCGGCCGAGTCTCGACCGAGCCATATGTTTCTCCAGCGGGAGTGTGCTGGTGATTCTGCTGTGTACTCTGCTCTTTGCGATGAGTGAGCCGCTCATGGCGAACGAGCAGGTCACTTGGTTTGAGTCTTTAGCTGCTGCCGTGAACGACGCTGGACGTATCATACCTGCGTGTGAATGAATAGTTGCATGCTGCGCAGCTGAAGGGCTTCACACCGCTATCTTGACGCATATTAGAATTGGCTTACGACGCGAGCCGCACGACTTACGAATGCGCTCATGACGCTGGAGATGCTCCAGCCTAGCAAAGGCCCGTTGGCAGTGTGGACATTGGAATCGCTTTTCCTTCTTCCCCGGTTGAGCTTGCGGGACCTGCTCTCCGCTGGTAGCTGCTTCCATCAAAGACCAATCGCGACGCTTTCGCTTCCACAGGGCCAATGGCGACCGGCTTGGTAGACGATAGCCGAATTTTGGAGCAGCCTGAGCACTTAGACGAAGTTTGGAGACTGCAAGTCGTGTTTCACGAAGTCGGGTCGTGAGATTGTGGGGAAAGGAATGAAGCGCGGGGACGCGACGGTTCACATGCGGGGTGCTGGGAAGAGGTGGGAAAGCCACCAATCACACATGTGACAGGTACCCACAGCCCAGGATGCATACATATTGACGGAACAGATGAGGTGTAGGATGTCGTATTGACGCTTTTGCGCAGAAGTAAGGTATGGAGAATGGTTGTACTGCTACGATCACTGTCGGACAACTCGTCCCAGCCCGGGCCGGATGATCCCGGGTGCCACTTGCCCCGGCCACAGTCCAACGCGACGCGACGCGTCTTCTATCCATCGTCACAAGCCAACCATCTTCACGCCTTCTTGCTCCTTTCGCCCAATTCTCGCGGCATCTCGCCTTTCTCTGCCATGTCATTCAGGACCTTCTCAGCTGTCTTCATCGCGTCGACCCCAGCAGGCACACCGCAGTATGTTGTAGCGTGAATGATGGCTTCACGGATCTCAAGCTCGGAAAGACCATTGTTCCTTGCCCCGCGCACATGCACAGCAAGCTCGGGGGCGCGATTGAGTGCCATGAGCATGCCGATGTTGATCAGACTTCTCTGCTTCTTGTCGAGACCTGGACGTGTCCAAGCGTATCCCCAGCACATCTCGGTGACGAGCTCCTGTCCGGCTCGTGAGAACTCAGTAGACCCGTTCTCCAGCGCGCGATTGACGTATTCATCTCCCACCACACTCCGTCTCATCTTCAGCCCTTCATCGAAGAGCTGCTTATGTAGCTCGTCGAGCTTCGGATCGGTCGACATGCTGACGGTCGGTCGTTTCGAGATGCGATGGCAGCTGTTGCGGTTTTGACGAGAAGGAGTTTGACTACCCCAAAAAGAATTTACAGGATGAGGAAGATGATAGTCTATCTACTGCGCGTTTGTATTGCCAGTACTGTGACGAACTAACAAGACTGGCATGCTTGCCCCGCGATGGTAGCTTCGTACCTAGATAGCCCGCCCTCGGCATTACCCCAAACATCCCCAATCTTCTCCAACTTCAACATAACGCTAATGCAACTAGTTACACGCAGCAAGTTGAGGTCCAGCGACATCGGGTCCGATAACGATGGGGTGTCACAGGCCCAAGTTGCTGCTCATGCGCCGTTCGATTTAGATCGCCAGTCTTCCTGGCCACCGAGGTAGCGATATACCACCCGCGAGTCCAAATCCCTACAACGCGGATCGTTGGCTGCCCCATCGTATGTCTGTAGTCCAACGTCACCCAACACGTTTCTCGACCCTACTCGTTTCGCCATGTCCACGGCCAAACCGAAGTCTTTGCGCATGAGCTGCACTTTGAAACCCTGCTTCCAGCCTCCTGAAGACGGGGCTTCGGGGTATACATGTGGGACAGGGCAAAACTTGTCGCAAATAGTGTTCTGGGCAGTACCAGCGGCGTACACTTTGGCCAGAGTGCGGGGATCCAATCCGCTGCGCATTCCCATGTCGAAAGCCTCAGAGCAAGCTATGGCGATGATACCCGATAGGTAGTTATTCGACAGCTTCGCTGCAAGCCCAAGGGATGGACCTCCGCAAGGTATCACTTGCCCACCCATCAAACCCATCAGATATGTGAGGCGCTCAATATTTGGGTCCGACTCTGCACAGCCTAGGAAGAATGCGATCGTGCCTTTGATGGCTCCCACCACGCCGCCACTCACCGGAGAGTCATAGAACGACGCAGAGGGAAACTCGGCGGTAATGTGGTCCTTCACAGCGAGGCTGGTTGCCGTGTCTATTGTCGAGCAGTCGATGAGCAGCTTATTCGAGATATCGGTGCCGCATACGCCGTTTTGGGGGTCGAGATATACGGATCGTACGTGCGCACCTTCAGGCACCATGCTTACAACTGTGTCCTGGCACGTCGTTAGCTGCCATTTTCGCACGATGGCGTCTATACTCACGACTTGTTGCGCAACATCTTTGGCGCTTTTTGCCTTCAGGACTCGACCAGGAAACTCTGCACACGCATCGTCTACCATCTGTTCGACCACGTCATAAACCCAAATGCGCGATTCCTCAGGCAGTTTGTTGGCAAGATGAGAAAGCATTGGTTTCCCCATAGCTCCGAGGCCGATGAAGCCCAGCTTTCTAAACTCGTGCGAATGCGTCATGACGAATGCGTGTGCCAGATAAGGGTGGGGGAGTGACTTGAAGCTGAGAGTACCATCAGAAACGACAGAGAGTCAGCGTCGAGTGGGATGTTGGTGTGTATACGAGACCCGGAGATTTTGAGAAACACGTCAACACTCTACCATCAGAACGCGTCGTGAGCGTGCCGCGGCTGGTGAAGCGGGGTAGACATTTCTCCAACGGATAACGACGCACTAATCCTACCCACTCTTTCGCCAACACCTACTACCCCCATAGGTACCTTGGTAAGCTGAACGATGATCTCACGTGCCATCTCCATCTGCTCATGCATGAGAGCACCTGCGGCTGTCCTTCTCAACAGCCATAGTCTTGCAACCTTGAGAAGACATCATCTACGAAAAGCTCCATCATCCTTGAAAAATGTCTGCTATTGTCTCGCAAAAGCAGTCCGACCATGCAGCGCCGGCCGTTGTCACTGTGCACGCGTTGTCGTGTGGTCACTTTTCTCTTCCAGAGTACCAATTCGTACACCCTGTTAGTCGAGATGCACGCCGGACCGTACCTTCGTTAGCATTTCTGATACAGCACTACAACCAAAGCACCAGGATGCGGACACGAATTGTGTTCGATCTAGGCCTGAGACGAAACATCAAGAGATACGCGCCACCAATACAAAAGCATGTCGAGACGAGACAGCCAATGAGTACCGATCCGGACGTCACTAAAAGCCTCGCGAGAGGCGGGCTAGTACCCGAGGATATTGATTATGTGATCTATTCGCACGTAAGTCACACAACCTTGCTTTGCGGACGGTAGGTAACGTGGCTACGGCAGGTGCATTGGGATCATATTGGCGAACCTCGGGACTTTCCTACATCTACCTTCGTCGTCGGTCATGGTTCACTTGCCTTGCTGGATGGGACATCGTCGTCTTTACGCGGTGGCCATTCTTTCTTCGAAAGTGATCTTCTGCCAGGAGAGCGGACCATTGAACTATCGGAACCTTCGGCAAACGTGTTGAAGAAGCACGATTCATGTAGGGAAACGAGCGATATCAACTTCGGTGGCTCGTGGCAAACGCACGGAAACCTCCCTCAGACTTTGGATGTCTTCAACGACGGCTCACTGCTCATCGTCGACGCACCCGGTCATCTACCAGGACACATCAATCTTCTTGCTCGGACATCTCCTGATCACCGAATTTACATGGGCGGAGATGCATGTCACGACAGACGACTGTTGACCGGAGAGAAAACGATCGGAGAGTGGAACGATGCTCATGGACAAGTCTGTTGCATACATGCCGACAGAAAGCAAGCCGAGGCGACGATTGACAGAATCAGAGCCCTGGAGAAAGAAGGCGTTGAGATCATCTTTGCACACGACGTTGAATGGGAGAACGACCCAAAGAACAAGACGCGGTTCTTCGGCGCGGAGCAAAGCGTGGATGGTTAGTCGTTAGCGTTCAAGACATCACCTAGCAATTGTTCTGAACAGCATATCGGGATACCGATCGCCTGTCCCACTCATCATATTGCATATCTGTGGCGTGGCCAGATCAAGTGTGTCCAGCCCAGCTACCATCCTTCTCGTTGGGCCACCAACTGGTGTGCTGATCCCTGCGCTTCCCCACACAGCTGAGTTGGGGAAATGTGGGGCTTGCTTGCTCACCACCACCATCAACCATCCTCGGATAACCGGGTTGAGGGGTGGCAGGCATAATCACACAGACTGCTACTCGGAAATAGCAAAACAAATACTACTCGCGTTTATGTTTCAATGCCGAGATCTTATATGACGTCCAATAGCTCCAATGCGACTTCTTTGTAATTTCCGTACTAGAGACTCTGCGCGAACTGTTCATGCACTCATCAGTACCCAAAGCCCTCATTTGAACTATTAATACTACCACAAAGCATGTCTCTTTCACCAGACCAACAGCGCCTAAAAGAGCGCTTCGACACCGAGCTCGGCTCCGCAGCATACGATGAGTCCTGGGCGAGGATGCTAAAACACTCACCCGAGATGTTCGCAGCATCGCTCCGCCTAACAGCCATACCAAAGCGAAGCAGCCACCTATCACCCAAGATCCAGTCCCTAATCTCCCTCGCCGTAAGCGCATCATCAACCCACCTCCACATCCCCAACATCCACCGCTACACCCGCGCCGCCCTCTCCGCAGGCGCCTCCCGTGCCGAAATCGTCGAAACACTGTGTCTCACATCCACCCTCGGCATCCACGCCTCCACAGTCGGCGTCCCAATCCTCTTCGAAGTCCTCGAAGAGCGCGGCGAAGCCATTCCAAAAGGCATGGCGAGCATGAGTCCACAGCAACTCGCACTAAAGCAAGATTTCGAGGTAAAGCGCGGATACTGGAACGCATTATGGGAGGAGATGCTGCTCATCGCACCCGACTTCTTCGACGCGTATACGGAGTTTAGTTCTGTGCCGTGGACGAACGAGGGGGGCAAGGGCGTGCTTGAACCCAAGGTCAAGGAGCTGATATATTGCGCGTTTGATACGGCGGCTACGCACATGTATAAACCGGGGTTGAAGTTGCATATGCGAAATGTGTTGAATTATGGGGGTACGAAGGAGGAGATTATGGAGGTGTTGGAGTTGGCGACGTTGTTGAGTATTAGTACTTTGGATGTGGGGTTGGAGGTGCTGGATAAGGAGATGGGGGACTGTAACGGCGTGGGATCTTGATGGAAGTGACCAAGGCTCAGCGGCGAGCGTGGGGCCTACATTGATGTTAGGTCACCTACTTTGCATGTTATCATGTCAACGTAGTATCTAGACCTGTTCATCCTTGCTCTTGGATGAGGCGAGCGTAGAGCCTACGTTAATGTTGGGTCACTTACTTTGCATGTTGTCACATCAATGTAGTCTCCAGACTTGCTCATTCCTTCTCTAGTATGATGTGAGCGTAAAGCTTTAGTGGCATGTATTACATTTGATCGGCGTGTTATGAAGGCTGCTTGGCAGCAGATCTATTGTACTCAAAAGGATCCACTACCGACCACCCCCTCCCCACGTGGCTTTCCACAGGAATCGCGGTGGCTTTCCGCACAGCCATCGCGGCCTCACCGGCGCGTTGCCCGCAAATTCAAGCGTCGTACCATACAGCGACAGCATCGATCCCATGAGATCATATCCGTTCCGTCTAGCCCAGTAGATCGGATTGCTGCTCCTTAGGAATTCGTATTCACATTCCAGTCCGCATCTTTCTCGGCAGACATCCCATGCTTCGTGCAAGATGTCGAAAACATGCTGGCTAGGCGCCGTGTGCTCTATGATCAGAGAGAACGTACGCATGCTTTCCTTGAGATTGTTGAAACCCATCGTAGGGTTCTTCTCCCAATAGCCAGGTATCGTGTATTGCCAGGTGTGGCTATTCCCACACGCACGAGTGTAGGATCCGTACCATTCTATCAATTCTAAGGCGTACTCGCCCAGGTTGTACTCTAGTTGCTGGCCGGGCCGGAAGATCTTGTCGCTTAGTGTCATCTCGTCTTTGGCCTCCATACGCATTCCCAGGTCGCGATGTAGCTGATCGTGGCATTTGCGTACAAGACCCGATAGCGCCAGAAGCTCCGATCGCTCTTCGTCGCAGAGAATTGTAGTAGTGCCTTCTGATATTGGATCCTGGAGAGCCCTGTTGAGCGTGTCGAAATTTGCGGAGAAAGTAATCGCGAGGATTTCGAGAATGTATCGCTGCAGCTGCTGAACTTGACTGTTTGGCTTTTGAGCCTTGGGAGGAGCACAGTGTCTTATTTCCTTCGGTGGCAAGCCTAGAGGCACGCAGCTTTCACCTTGTGATGTATAGGAAGGTAGTGATTTCGAGGCAGTGCCACCAGTTTTTGAATATTTTTTATCCTCTAGTAGACTTTGTTGTTCGGCTGTGTCGTGTAGCTTTGAGAGACGGTAGCGTCCGAACGGTCCAAGATTGATGATCGGCATGATCGCGGTGTTGGGAAGGTTAGATGGGTTGCAATAAGTTGAAAGAAGCGCGTTTCGTGGAAGGTCGTAGAGTCTTTTTGTATTTCGAGCCTGCCCAGGGCAGTATTCGCTACCAAAGAACTGTGCATGTGCATGTGCAACCCTGTAGCGAATGAGAAGTCTAACCGAACCTAGAGTTCGGGTCGAACCTCCCACTTAAAATCTTGACTAGCATTGCAGCCTACAATAACATAAAACCACGCAAAGTGGGTGATTCAACATTGATGTAGCCTCTAGGCTGCTTTCGAAGTCGAACCTCCCACCCAATACAGGGAAGATCATGGCCAGCTTTGCACCCTGGGATTACACAAGATCATGCAAAGTAGGTAATCCAACATCAACGTAGACTCCAGGGCGCTCCCAATGTCGAGCCTCCCACCCGATGTACGGAAGATCCTGACCAGGTTTGCAGCCTACAATAACACAAAACCATGCAAAGTGAGCGATTCAACATTGATGTAGACTCTAGGGTGCTCTCGAGGTCGACTCGTACGGGCCAGGCCTGACATTAATCTAGCTCCGTCCTTGGATCATTGCTGCTTGATTACAGGTATGAGATGAGCTCTAGGGGTGATGGGTAGCTGTTTCGCAATGAATCACCGCAGTATCGTGGACATATGCGATGAGTCTGGAGTATGGCTTTGAGCTACACTATCTAATCTTATTGTCTACTTAAAGGTCTAACTAGTGGTTACATACATGATCCAGTGGTAGAACGGATTCTGCGGAAGCGTCGCGAAGATGTTGTGGAGGCGATGGATTTGTTTGAGTGGTTGCGACCATCACTCGGCTGCGAATGACGTCTTGTAGTTGTGGCTCAGCCAGATCTAAGAATTGCCGCCTTGGTAGGTACGATGAGTTTCTGAGGGCGACCTGACTACTAGAGCCGGAGAAATAGCGATGAGATGCATGCGTATTATCTTCGTGCAGCTGACTTGAGGTGTGAACGTTGTGGTGGTGGTGAGCTTAAAGCGGACCTGTGCTCAGAGCGATCGTGTGACTTTCAGCCAGAGTCTGAGGATTGCGATCTCTTTCATTTGATGAGAAGCACCTTTGCGTATGTGATTGATGTATTGCAGGCGTCATTAGTGGCTCGTCTCGCTCTCCGCCATCGTAGTACGATAGATGGGATGGAACGAACCGAAGTATGGAATCGCGCACACACCGAGACTTTCAACCAGCTGACCGGGATTTGCCAGTTTGATGTTATTGATAAGCTGTGGAACGGCGTGGTATGCAGGATTTGATCGCGTTCGTCCAATACCCGATGACTGATCGAGGCCAGTGAAACGATGTCAAGGCGGAGATCGTCGACTGAGGTACCTCAGTACCAACAACAAAAGACGCTGAGAACATCGATTGTCTGGTACTGGGCGAAAGTAGCAACATTGCTGATTGTAGCGGTACAGGTTTACGTGAAGTAGCCGATGGTGTGATTTCTTGTCTGCGTGAAGCTGTTTGCTGGAGAAGCTGTGTTGCGAAGTCAGGCCAGCTGAGGCAAAGATGTAGGCTGAAGCGAGGTTGGATGTTGAAGCCAAGTTGGGTGCTGAAGCGAAGTTGGATGCTGGAGCCAGGTTGTATGCTGAGGCCAAGTTGAGTGCTAAAGCGAAGCTGTTGACTGGAACAAAGCTGTTGGCTGAAGCGGAACTGTTGGCTGAAGCGGAACTGTTAGCTGAAGCGGAACTGTTGGCTGAAGCGGAACTGTTGGCTGAAGCGGAACTGTTGGCTGAAGCGGAACTGTTGGCTGAAGCGGAACTGTTGGCTGAAGCGGAACTGTTGGCTGAAGAGAAGTTCTGTATACCTCCAAGGTAATAGAGAACATGAATAAGAATACCCCCGTCTGCACCACCCCCTATCTCAGTATTGGGGGTGGCCCCAGGCCTAACGGCGGGGACGTGGGGGACAAGGCCCATAAAATGTAAGTTGTTAAGAAATGTTGGGGATACAAGCTGTCTTGGGATACAATGTTTGAGAGAAAGGAAATGTAAATATGATAAAGAAAAAGATGTTGGGGATACAATCTGTCATGGGCTACAATGTTTGATATGATACTTGACGAAAGGAAAAGAAATCAGAAGGAGTGACTCCTCGCCCGCATCTGCGAGCCCGGCAGAGGACCCCCTTGGTCAACGGGGACCGTCAACCTCGGCAGGCCCCGAGACTCCCGCAGGTCGTCTCGCAGCTGGTCGAGCCGCATGTCGAGCTGCCGAAGCTCAACGGGCCGCATGGCGTTGTCTCGGGCGAGACGGGCCACCTGCACCCGCAACCCCACCAACTCCTCTTTCATCGCCCGAAGGCACTCCATCTCCTCCGCCGACTTCCCCTTCCAGGGCCACCACACCCCGAAGAGCCAAGCCAGGAAGGCCACGAACATGCAGAAAAGGCCGTAAATGGCGGCCGCGACGATGCTGTTTTGGACTGAAGGCCAGTCGAGCCACGGGCAAATTTCCGCG